GCGAAGATGTGTGGAATGCAGCCGGCAGATCGTTCTCTTTCTCGTCAATCTCAGCAATGTTGAGTGAGGGGTAGTCAAAGTCATCCTCTTGCGAGTTCAGCGACTTGACCAGCCCATTCGACGTCCGCTTGGTCCCCTGTGTAGTTGCCCCGATGGTCGCTTTCATCTCGTTTCCTACAGGACGCGTCGATGACGTTTTTGGCCCGGTGCGATTGAAGGCGTTCCCGAGGGAAGCCTGCTTGTAGGCGTTGTTCGGGGGTGATGTAGACGCGATGGCATTGTGGTTCTGCACCGCTGACTTGAACATGGTAGTCGTCGTGTGCGGGCGAGTGGAAAGATAGCCGAAGTAGTGGCGGGGTGTGGTTGTGGGCGAGGCGGTCGACGGTTGCAGATGTGATGTCGAGAAACGCGTACGCGGAAGGTACGTGAGGGACCGTGTTGGAGGCGAATGCGTCCGAGCGGGATGTGGGATGCAAAAGAGCGGCGACCGTTTCGGATTGTACGGTTTAAGCGACGCACCTCTCTTTCCGAGAGTGGCAAGCATACAGCAAACAAAGAGAGCGCCGACAAAAGAAAGGATTACCGAGATGATGTCGAGTGTGTGCATGCCATCCGGCGCGGTGGGGTGTGAATGTTAGCATCAATTAGCGGACGGGCCCACAAAACGCGACACGACATCTCAATGCGGATGCGCTAGAACAATACGTCACGTGCCGTCATCACAACGGTGTTTCTGCGGTGTATCTGAAAGCTTGATGGAACATGCAGGATCCCAGGCACCTTGACGCAGGTACGGGATTTGACTGCCTCTAGGCGGCTCTATGACGTACTGGTGCAGACCTCACTTTGGCGAGAATATGTCTTGTATGCTTGTGGCTTCAGTGCCTCGCAAATTCTATTACGTCTCCATCACCATCAGTACTACTATCTAGTCCACAGTATAGTATACTATCCAAAGTCATACCGCGACGACCAGCGCGCGCCACAAGAAATCCACTTCTGGTATCATAAGAACTCGCTTTGGTATCAAGAAGAGAATTCGCTGGTATCAAGGAGAAGATTTAACGTCATAATAGATAGTGAAGGGGTAATCAGAGCCGAGGCCTGAAGCAACAGAAAACTAACACGAGATAGGAGATTCATTTTGAACCAAACGACCGTGAACCAGATCCCACAAGAAATGTACCAGCCATGCCATAAGACAACAACGCTTGCACCATTTTGGACAACGGAATTAATAACGACTCCCTAAGAACATAAAACCGAGTAGCTGATGAAATATGACCAGAAATCGGAGCTATCCAAAACAGCGCCCCCGTAAGCAAACAGGCGTGTTGGGACAATAGAGGGCACAGCGCTGAAGAGACAAATCTAACAAACGAGGTGCTTAGCCCTGGTATCCTCCAAAGCCATTCTGGTTGAAGGCTGCCTGGGGAGATTGGCCCCATTGAGGTTGTTGGGGAGCGCCACGGCCGTAGCCGCCAGCGCTGCCTGGCTGCTGCATCTGTTGCTGGTAAGGCATGCCAGGGTTGCCAAAGGCTTGCTGCTGCTGCGCGAAGGGTTGTCCGCCGGGGCTGGGTCCTGCCCGCGCATTAGATTGCTTGTTTCGATACTGCAGCTTCCTCCGGTGCCGCTCACCTGAGGGTGACATGGGACCACCTTGTGGCCCACCACCATACTGAGGAAAGTACGCGCTTGGCGTCTGAGGATAAGCTGAGTTGGGCCCGCCCGCAGGCGAGTAACCCTCAAACTGGCCAGTCGGAGGACGGTCTTTGCCCCACTAGATTCAAAATGTGAGCTAAGAAATAACAAAAGAGAACGAATCAACCTACGCTGCACTTCAGAGGACGGCCGTTGACGTTGTAGCCATTGAGTTGGCAGATGGCCATGGCAGCATTCTCATGAGTGTCCATCTTAATGAAGGCAAATCCGCGATCAGACTGGAAGCGGGTTTCGGTGACATAACCAAAGTTCTGGAAAAGCGGCACAAGGTCAGATTGAGAAGTGTAAGGAGTGAGGTTCCCGACGTAGCACGTGGTCTGCCACTGAGGAGTCTGAGCAACGACCATGTCGTAGCTCTGCACGCCATGGGTGGGGAAATGGTGGTGTCCGAAGGGAGTGGTCGGCGTCATACCCATGGAAGCCATGGCCTGCTGCTGGGAAATGGAAGGCTGTCCTTTCTGGTTGGCCCAGTTGCAGCGGATAGCGCGAGAGCCAAGCCACTCTCCGTCCATAGAGCTGAGAGCGCGATCAGCATCGGCGCGATCCCTAAACGCGACGAATCCGTAACCACGCGACCTGCCCGTCTTCATGTCCCACATAACGCGAGCCTCGGAAACGGGACCAAAGGTGGAGAAAGCTTGGAGGAGAACCTCGTCGTTGACTTCGTTGGAAAGGTCACCGACGAAGATGTGGAAATGGTTAGATGTGTCTTCCTTGGCTGTATTGTTAGATTGGTAGGCCCAGTTAACACGGATTTCCTGTATCTGTCAGAACCGCCAGCACGCAATTGTCGAGCGCGCTTACGTTGTTGTGGATGCGGCGGCCGTTGAGTGTGGCCATACCACGCTCGGCGGCGCCAGGGTCATCATACTCGACGAAACCGTAGTTGAAGCCCTTGGAGTTGAACTGTTAGCGGTCAGCGGCACATGAATGTTGCAACACTTGCAAGATAAGCCCGGCCAGCTGTCAAGAGTTATGCAGCAGGTGCGGAGTGTTATCTTACAGAAGGAGAACTTGCAGTCTTGTCTGGAATAATCTTGACGCTCTGGACATGGCCAGTCGTCTCGAAGATCTGACGCAACACGTCCTCGGTGACCCGCGGGTCCAGTCCTCCAACATATAGCGCCCGCTTGTTGGGCTCGGGGGCGGCGCGACGGGGGACGTAGCCAGGCTGGCCGCTGGTCGGGCTCATGGGGTTGCCCGACATGGGCGAGCTGATGGCGGTCGGGATGGGGTTGTTGTTCTGGGGGATAATGACGGGTGCAAGCGGCGGCGGTGGCATGTGCTGCTGCGGCTGGCCCTGGTTCTCGTAGCCGGGAGCGCCAGCGGAAGGGGGAGGAGGCAGCTGTGCCCCGGGGTTCTGCTGGTCGGCCATGGCTGCTGTCGCGGGGATGCGCACTAGAAACGAGTCGCAAGAGGCGCAATTGGCGGCGGCGGGTATCGAAGACGTCGGCGGTGATGCGACGGTCAGGGCGACGAGGCCACGGGGAGGTCGAGGCTGGCGGGCGGGGTGGTGGCAGCTGGGTAGGCGGCAAGGAAAGTCAGTATGGAAAGCGCGACTAAGGCTACCAATAGAGAGCGGACAGCACTAGGAAAGGCAAGGGAAAACAAGAGGAAGAGAGATAGGAGAGACGAGCGCTGCGCCGAGCTGTGACGGCAAAGCTATAATCTCCACTGTGGGGTGAAGAAGGAGAGGTGTGAGAGGTGAGCGGGCGAGTTCGAAGAATTAGCGCCGCAGGCCACAAGGCACCCGAAGGAGCGGGAGCTATGAACGTAGTACCGTACTGCCGCTAGCCCAGCCTGCTAGCGGACCCTCTCGAGGTCCCGCGCCGAACCCATCACTGACACACGGCCGTACCTTTGCCTAGCACCTGCATGCCCATCATGGCCACCGCCGTAAACTCCACCCAGCACCTGGACATGCTCCAGAGCATGCTCAATGCTGTGGTATGTCCGGTCACGTGTCTGCTTCTGCGATCGCGCTAACATGCATAGTTCCTCCATTCTGGGCGCTTTCTCAAAGAGGAGCAGGCGGGCGGCGGCACCGGGCGCATGAAGCAGCAGCTGCAAAAGGTCGTGCCGTCTGCTACTGAGCGCTTTCACGATGCGCTCGACGAGCTCGAGAACGAGGTCCGCCTGGCGCAGACCGTCCTGCGCCGCGACATGGCGCTGCTGAAGCAGGACCGAAAGAAGAAGGAGGCCGCAGCGAAGCAGCACGAGGTCGAGAAGGCGCGACTGGCAGCGGAGGCGAAGAACGTCCCTGCGCCCGTCGAGGAAGAGCCTGTGAAGGAGGAAAAGGTTGCGACACCAGCAGCGCCCGAGCCAGCCGTGTCGCAACCAGAACAGGCGCCCGAGGCAGCGAGCGCAAACGAGCCCGAGGCAGAAGAACCCCCGAAGAAAGAAGACGACGCGAAAGACGCGAAAGCACCACCGCCGCCGCCCATCGAGACCGACGTCGAGCCCCCGAAAGACCCCCTCTTCGACGGCACGCCCACCACCGGCAACGCGCAAGAGTCCGAGTTCGACTTCGATGCCATGTTCGGCGACGCGATGGACACATCGGGCGACAACCCGCACCACGACATGATGGACACGTCAGGCGACATGGACTTCAACCTCGATGACGGCAACGACGGACCCTCGCTACTCCGCGGTCTCGAGGACTTCGCCAAGGACAGCGATGACGACGCGAACCAAGCCTCGGCCATGGACATTGACTTCACCATGCCAGACCTGCCAGGCTTGGATATGAATACCGACGCGACCGCGAATACGAGCGACAATGCGACAGCCGCGAAGCCCGCCGAACCTGAACCCGAGCCTGCAAAGGCCGAGGAACCCAAACTCGCCGAACAGCCGCCGGTCGAGGAGAAAAAGGAAGAACCGACCGCTACCACCAACGACGAGATGATGGACACTATGACCACAGACAACCTCGAAGACCTCTTCAATATGGATGAATACGAGAACCCCGAGCAGTCGCAATTCGATGACGCCTTCTTCAATTTCGAGTAGTAATCGGATTTGCACACATGGCGTTGGTTTACGGAACTGCAGCACTGGATAGCGCTTGCATGGCGTTGCAGAATATGGGTTGGTCTACGACATTGGGACTAAGGCGTACTGAAAGCATTTTGATACCCCAGCATATACCAGGAGGTAATTGTAAGACATTGAATCAAAGTTCGTATACCATGAATATCATTACAACGCGCCTCATCGGAGATGCTTGCAGCATCTGAGTACCCGCCTGTTTTAGCTGAACGCGAGCGACATGGTCACGTTGTCCAGTTCAGGAGGATGTCGTTGTTCCGAGTAAGTCGGTTTGCCAGCTTATCGAGCTCTGACTCAATCTTCGTGCTACCACTGTCTGACTCTGAGTCTGACTCTGCAGTCTGTAAATCTCCCCGCTGTGTATCCTCTGTCAAGATCTCGGAAATCCTATTCAAAGTCCTTTCAACGTCTCGAAGTCTTTCCTCCAGAATGTCGTCCACCGGAGTGTTGTTCTTTGTAAGCCTTTCTGAGTGTGCATGACGCTCTGTCGGGTTTCTCAGAAGCTTTCCATCGAGAGAATTCTTATATTGCACAAGTTTCCTCTCGTACCGCTTTTTGAACTGGGCTAAGAATAGGTCTTGCACTATCATTCTTTCGATTGGTATCTTATCTTTCAGTTCGTTGTTCGCGTCTTTCAAAACGCGAATGACGTCTCTGTAGCCGGATTGACAAGTTTTAGTAAGTGCTAAGATGTTAACCCGCCCTGTTCCCTCCGTTTCTTTGATCGCTCCATCCGAGGACTGAGACTCCTTCTTTTCGACCAAATCTTCGTCGAGACACTCGTCTTCTTCGCCGTGGCTAAAATTTTGAAGTACCTTCATGCGATGCAAAAGGTATTCGTTGTAACGGGCTAGCTTTCTCACGAGCTCCTCCATCAGAGGCACCAACTCTGGATCATCAGCGTCTGGGCCCGATTTTGTCTCTGGTTCCGGAGCCGACGTGTTTCCTTCTGCTACATATCTTGGTGTCAAGATGTCCAAGATCTCAGACACCTCGCCCAAAGTCGTTTTGATACGTTGAAGCCACTTTCGTATGAGATCATCCTTCTTCCAATTTGCGAGTCGGTTTGATGATAGATTGTTCGACTTAGGTCTTCGAGGTCGGCCATCGATAGAGTGTTCATCTGGATGAGTTATGCCGTTTAGACGGGCCCATTCGCCTAGGTCGATACACAGATTCATGACAGACCCAACCGGCATAATCTTCTTCGTGTCTATTCATTGCCAGACTTCAGCGTAGACTTCCAAGCAGCTCTTAGTAAGCGTATCGATAGTAACATATTCGATCTGCGTCGTGGGTTCTTTATCCGCTTGACCGAACGGCGGGGCATGCGTTTCGCTCTTCGACTGCTTCGTTGCCATGCTGCTTTCTTCTCGCGAGAGCATCTACGAGATGTTTTCGGGTTTCTGGTTTGCAAGACGGATGGTCGAGTTCTCAGTGCAGATTTCGCGGGTCAAGGGATAAAGATGAGGAAAGCAGTAATTGTGTATAGATCTGGATCTTTTGAAGTCAGGTACAGTCACTGTTCGATACGACTCATACAACGAGTGACTGATGAGTTGCGTGTCATCGCACTATATCCAGCTAGTCATGATCGGGCATCAAATAGTCGCCTGCAACTCTGGTGTCATATTGCATTGCATGAGCTACGACTGGGAGTAGAGCTGAATGAGCCAATGAGAAGCAGTCTCTTTTAACATCGAAAGCCTTGGACGCGTTGCAATATGCAGCTAGAGCTGCACCCAATAGCTCCGGTCTCGTGCAATGCACATGTACTCACTTTGGCGTGCCTCTCAAGATTCCGCTGTGACGAACTACTCACCCTCGATATCGAACACCCAATCCCTTGCGCAATCTTCGACTCCTTACTCGCGTCTCCCAAGCACTGACACCTTTCCACCAGTTCCGCTCCGCATCTCACCCACCCGAAGGGAGCCGAGATGTCTACACTACCAACGGCATAGCAAGATATCATTTGGATCTACGATCTTATCCGTAAATATTCATCACTATCTACTCAAACTTCAGCACACTCTTCCCCACACTCTTGCCCCCCTCAATACACCTATGCGCCTCTCTCACCCCTTGCTCCCTAAACCCCAAATTCCGCCTAAATGACACCTCACGACCTCTAGGAGGATGCGTAGCTCGCCTCATGCCACGAGGCGCCTGCACCACGAGAACCACGAAGCCACTGGCCTACGTAAGACCAGAATACCTTGTAGCACGCGAAACAGTATAACTTGCGTGCTCGCACTCTCCAAATCTTCTTTCTTTATCTCCATCCCTCACTCACAACCACAGCACCATTCACCATGAAGAACACTGTACTGAGTTTTCTTCTAGTGGGACTACACACCCACCTTGCGAGTGGTCTACCTCAACGTTTTCTCGCAGGCACCGACAAACCTCTTTCGCTCCGCCCACAGCAACAGCTCAGCGTCACGATCAATATCGCGTACTCCCCATTCCATGATTCATCAGCGGGGTATTGTGTCACAGAAGACTTTGGCTGCGAGCAAAGCTATTGCTGGAGGAAGGTCAGTTCATCCTGCCGTCTCTAAGGGACCTCGGGAGATACATATCGTCGATATGCTGATACATGCGTTAGTGTTCGTGTGCTGGAGATTGGTGCTGGGGACGAGATTCCAAAGGCAATTCCGCCAGATGTGAAACTGTAGCTGATTGCCCCGTGGTTGCAGTTGCTTGCGCGGGAGGAAGTTGCCCTGATGGCTGCGCTGATAAGTGATGAGCTGCTGAGCTTATGTGAAATTGATACATGACTGAGCCTCTTGCCTGCTATCTGGCTGGTCCTTTCTTTTGGAAAATAGGATGGCAAGTGGCTCATTTACCAGTTGTAGACGTTTAACTTTTTGGTCAATTCACTGTCTCATCACTTTCTACCCACCGTCTCGATCGTGTTCTTAAAAGCATATGATCAATTGACCAAGACTGCCTCGTTAATCAGTTCCCAATAGGGCTTGGTGGTTCATGGCGGGCCAGTCATCCAGCTTTTTCGCAGTCGCTCTTACTCGAAAATTAACAGTCGGTGTTGTTCGGGTGCTACAAGTCGCCTCGCCACAACGGCGGTAAGCTCATTCATGTACGACACAACCACGGTTCGACAGATCGGACATTCCTCCATTGATGTATCAATGCTGGCACGCACAACGCTAGCTATGAGATCGTGGACTCGTGTACGACAGCGTAGTCATCCGCTGGTCTCATTGCATTGGGAGACTCTAAAGTCCACTATTACGTACATTCAAAGAGGTTGGCCCTGATGTTGATAGCTGCACCACTCAGATACGTTTTCGTGCACGATTGAAGGCTTACGATGACCCGACCTAAAGCGGTTAGCGCAGTAGCCAACGAAGCAGGTGCGGTACTCAGCCTTAACTCTCAGGCAGCAAGTACGTTTGACATGATAGTAAGAAAGCCACATCAACAAGTTTTCCCCAACAATGACCACTGCAGACCAAGCATGCGTACCAGTGTATACCAAGCACTTCATTCCTCTCGAGTCAAATCCAGACGTCTTCACCGAGCTCGCGCATAAGCTCGGCCTATCCACCTCGTTGGTCTTCGAGGATGTGCTCTCTTTGGACGACCCAGAACTGCTTGGATTTCTTCCGCGTCCCGCCTTTGCGTTGATACTGGTGTTCCCGACGACGGACGACTATGAAAGGCGAGTGCAAGACGAGGACGCTAAGCTTGAGGAGTTTCGAACCTCTGGAGGTGCTGGTGACGTGATCTTCTTCAAGCAGACCATCAACAATGCATGCGGTCTTTATGCGATACTGCATGCTGTCTGTAATGGCAAGGCGCGACAGAAGATCGGTATGATAGCCGTCAGCCCAATCGAAAACACAACTGATATTAGTCAGAGAGTGACACGATCATTGCCCAATTATGCGATGCTAGTCTGACACCCGATTCGGACGAGCTGGCAAAGGCATTGGAGAAAAACGATGGGCTCGAACGGACGTATGCTGGAGTAGCAAGCAAGGGAGATACTGAAGCGCCCCTCAACGCGGAAGACGAGGTGGACTACCATTACATCGCCTTTGTCAAATCAGCCCAAGACAGTCATCTATACCAACTTGACGGCGACCGCAAGCATCCGATAGACCTTGGGGCGCTCACAATAGATGAAGACGTTCTATCTGAGAAATGCCTTGGCGTTATTCGCGGTATGATGGCAAGCGAAGACGAAAACCCCAACTTCAGCCTGATGGCTCTGGTGGAGCAAGCAGAGATGTAGGTAGCCAAGGAGTCACACTCTTCGTAGGATTTCTCCGAAGAGCGAGGAAGTGTGAACTATGAAGGACCTTTTTATTTGTTCTTGCAACGGACTTCGTCAGACGAAGAATGCACGTACTGAGGTACAGCCGCATACACCACAGCTGAGCAAGACGCAAAGCTGTGGGATGCTCCCCCGAAAGGGACTCGTAAAAGTGTCGGAGACTCAAGTGGCTGGTGTGCGAGTTGCGTCCTATGATGGATGGATGTATCTAGAATGACATAGCGACATGGTTTCGTCCTCACATTAGAGGCCGATGATGTCTGTCATTGTGATGTTGTAGGTGAACGTGGGTGAAGGGGAAGAAAAGTTGAGATGTTCGCCGCATGGACCACCGCGCTAGGCTAGCTCTCGAGGAACCGCGAGCCCTGAGCTTCACTTCGACTGACCGCGAGCGCGACCACGCCTTCCCCACTTGCCTCCTACCAATCGCAAAGATGACGAAGAAACGCAGAAGATATCCGGATTTGAACCAGAAGCTCGAGGTACGGTGTGCGCACCCAAATCGCATATAGCGCCCATACTGACGTCTGCAGCGACCATGGTGTTACTACTGCGAGCGCGACTTCGACGACCTTAAGATTCTCATCTCTCACCAAAAGGCTAAACATTTCAAATGCGACCGCTGTGGAAGACGGTTAAATACTGCCGGAGGTACGCACCGCTCGATTCAACTCCGCGCACTGGATAAGCAATACTAACAGCTTCTCAGGTCTCTCCGTGCACATGAACCAAGTCCACAAGGAGACGCTCACTCACGTTGAAAATGCCAACCCCGGCCGTCAAGGTCTCGAGCTGGAGATCTTCGGTATGGAGGGTGTCCCCGCCGAGATAATAGACCAGCACAACCAGCAAGTCACACAAGCACATTTCGCCGAGGAGCAAGAGCGCGCACGAATTACCGGTAATCCCATGCGTGGAGCATACGTCAATGGCCAAGCTGCACCGAACAAGAGGCCGAAGATCAACGAGAGTCTGGAGGAGATTGAGAAGAGGGCGGCCCAATTCAGGGAAGATCGAAAGAATGGCGTACTACCCGCGCCTGTGGAGCCAGTACAGACTGCTGTATGTATTTGAGATTCTGGACAGGGAAAGGATGTGGGACTAACATATTTACAGACACCACCAGTTGCGCAGACACCGTACGGCGTACCACCCCCTGGCGCTCCCGTGGCCTTCCCACCCAGTGCGTCCGCATACCCTCCTCAAGGCGTCCCGCAACCTTTCTCGCCCGCCAACGGTGGCATGCCCCCAAGGCCTGGCAGCATACCCGGCCAACCTGGCGCGCTACCTCCTCGACCTGGTTTCGGCGCTCCACCACCGGGTGCATACCCGCCCGGTCAGAACGGCGACATATCCAACTCGGTCGACGACCTGATCAACGAGGTGACAAAAGAGGCCGCGCCAAAAGAAGAGAAGAAGAGCAAAAAGGACAAGAACCAGCGCCTCATTTTCTTCGCCGAGACGACAAGTCCCGAGGAAAAGATGGCAGCGCTGCCGAGGTTTGCGGATTTCATGCGGACGTGATGAGACAATGGGCGGTTTGCTGTGTATAACGAGAGAAGGCCAAGTTGCGACTATGCACGTTGGCACTTATGCTATGGAGCCTTGAGACCAGCGCAAGGGCAAGAGCCGACGGATGCCAAACGACGCATGACGGACCGCGTCAATCAAGGCGTTGCGGCGCGAAAGAGACTCTGGCTTTGCATTTGACAGCTATCTATGAGTAATCACCTCACCAAACGATCAAGATCAAAACCACAAAATCCAACAATGGACTGGTCTCACGATAGCTCAATGACACTTGATAACATAGCACAATGGAACAAACCAAGCTTGAGAAATCAGGGTATCTTGCAATTCAACGCATCCAGTAATTATACAACAGTCGTGTAG